ACGTCATCAGGGCCTGGTCGCCCGTGTGTGAAGCTCCCAGACACGGTCGCGCAGGCCATTCAAGCACCGCGTGTTGCCACAAATATATTTTCAAATATTTTTTCTATGTATTTCCAATGCGGTTTTATTTGTTTCTTTTATCGTATATGATGCATATTTGTGACCTTAACAATATGTAAACAGTAGAATGTTCATAATTTACCATGGAACTGTGATACATGTGTCAGTAATATGTCCACAATAAATGTTTATTGTTACAATATTACGTGGTAAAAATTCACTAAAATTACAATATGTACAGTTTCACACACTACACAGTAACACACTGTATTACACACTCAGTACTTCGGAAGTGAGTAATAGTCAACGAAGTAGTCCATGGTACACAGTGCGACTTTGCTCTCCTTGCACCAGCTACAGATAGATTTTCGTTTCCTGTTTCATCGTTATGTGTGCTTGCAAATAACGCACTCACGTGCACCCTTGGCTTTAGTACTTGTAGGTGGTATGTAGCCAAGCTTGTAAAGCATAAGGTAGTATTGAAACGATTATAGGAAAAGCTCAATTTGTAAGGTAGTCTTGAAAAGATCGCTTTGTAAGGTCCCACACAGGAAGAGATTCAGCTAGCCTCAAAGAGTGTCCATCAGTCAGGAAGAGATCCAGGTATTCTTGAAAATATCTATGGGAAAACACCACCATGGAAGCCGCTAACACTGTTCATCTATGCTACTTGTATCAGATGCATCATCACTGAACGAAGAAAACGATTCATCTATGTATCATCTATATAAATTGGAGATGGCAAGGGTGGGGCTCAGAGCTACAACTGGATACGCTCGCTGTATCATCCTCATAGGTGCTGTATCACTGGCATCCGACCGTTGTGTTAAGCCCTTATTGCGCCTAGCTTCACCAATGTTATGACCCTTATGTTCTTCAAACAATAGAGTCTGAATTGCACCGACTGAGCGCAGTCTTTCAACACCATGTCGGACAGGTGTTTGAGAGCCAGAGGCACGTGTGCCACAAATGGTTGCTCACGCAGTACTAACCCAGCCAGCAGCCCTTGTCTTTCATATTCGTTATAGCAAAAGGTTCGTTCAGGGTTTGTTGGGTAGGCTGCTCCATTATGACAATCTTTGTTTCAAATGTGTTCCATTTGTTTTGTATTTGTCCCTTACGTCTCAATAATGGAGCAGCCTACCCGACAAACACTGAACGAACCTTTATGGCATTTGTCCATTTTTCAAATTGTTTCAATAGGTCTTTTATTTTTTGTTTTTTTTTTGTTAAGAAACATGGAGCAGCCGACCTGTAGACCACCGAACGAACCTTTTTGACATTTGTACTGGTTTCAAAATTCTTCAATTTTTTTTTTATTATTTACGTTTTTTGTATGTAAGAAACATGGAGCAGCCTACCTGCCGACCACCGAACGAACCTTTTGCTATAAGACAAATGAAAAATAAATATTGAACACATTTGAAGAAAGGAAAATGTCATAATGGTTTGTTGAGTGTATATGTAAGGTAGGCTTCTCCATTATTGAGACGTAAATGACAAATACAAAACAAATGGAACACATTTGAAACAAAGAAAGACTGTTATAATGGAGCAGCCTACCGGCCGAACACCGAACGAATCTTTTTGACATTTGTTGTATATCAGACAATTCATTTCTTTTTTCCAACAAAAACGTCAATGCTTTGCAACATCTCAGCAGTCACCCCTTTATATCCCAGCATCATTAGCATCTTTAAACAAGAACAACATAATTTATGTGCATCGTCGGAGGTGTCTAAGAATGTGCAAGAAGCAGCGCGACCCCACCATGTGGTGTTGACGTTACTTAAACCAGCGTTCGTCATACGGGACAATTTGACGCCGATCGGGCCGTTCGTTACCCAAAATGTTCGTCTTTTGGGGGGATCGTTATGCGAGGTACCACTGTATATCTATCTACATATGTGTTCACCGTAACGAACCACTAAGTTGGTATAGTGAGCCAAAACAACAAGAGTGGCTGCGACACAGCAGCCAACAGTCACTGGTTGACTCCCTCACATCTTCAACATCCACTGACCAACATTCTGCCTTCCACCATACTGTTATTGTTTTTATTACATTATTTAAAGTATCTGCATGTTTTATTCACCATAACTGTACAACTAGGATGGTATGACGAGTTCATGCAATAAGAGAGAGGTGGCACCACACACACAGCTGATGGCTGCCTCCCTCACTGACTCAAGGCCAGATGCACTAACATTTCTCCCACAACAATACTGTTTGTGGCATTATTACACTATATACACACATTATATATAATTATCTACATGCAGGTGATGAGTCACAATAACGTGGCTGAAGTATGTTGACCAGACCACACACTAGAAAGTGAGGGGACGACGACGTTTCGGTCCGTCCTGGACCATTCTCAAGTTGATTGTGATGATTGAAGGAGGAGAAGGCAATAAATAGACAGAAGAGAGGTGAGGAGAAGAAAATCTTAGAGAACGTCATCGAGGGAAACATTAGTGAACAGAGAATCGACATCAAGATTAAGCATCTTACAAGAGGGCTGTAGGCGCAGTCTTTCTATGAAGTCCTGAGAGTGATGAAGGTGGGCAGGAGGAAAAGTGCCAAGGTAAGGCGTCAGAGTTTTAGAGAGCCAGGAAGAAAGAGGATAGCTGACAGAGCCCATGAAGAAATGATAGGACGAAGAGGAACACCAGGTTTATGAGTCTTAGGTAGACCAAAGAAATTAGGAAGAGAAGGGCAGATGACACGGAAACGTTTAACGAGATCAAAGTCAGGAGGACAAAGACTAGAGAGCTGTCTTAGTTTGCGGTTAAAGAAAGTTTTGAGGCGATCCAAATGGTTAGAAGTCAGAGGGCCATAAGTGCGGGAGTCAGAGAGCAAGACATCTGCTTTCTGGAGATAGTCCTCACAGTCAGGGACAACCACCGAATAGCCTTTGTCGGAAGGAAGGATAAGAATAGAGTTGTTAGATTTCAGGAAGGCAAGGGCAAGCTGGAAGCGTTGAGGAAAGTGGTGATTTTTAGAAAACCAGCTGTCAAGAATGGGGATAAGGGGCCCTCTAAAGGCAGACAGGTCCGCAAGACTAGAGTTAGAATTGACAAACCTGTCAAAGGAACTAATTAGGTCAATACCACAGTGTGGGCCAGGGGAAGTAGCAAAAGACCAAGTCCAAGAAATTCTTACTGGTGCTTAGAAAGAGGGTAAGAAGAAAGGTTGGTAACACAGTCAGAGAGAGTATTTAGCCCAAGGACTGTTTGAAATCAGGCGTTGAAGTTTGTTGTGTAGTGTGGAGGAGTGGTGGGAAGAGGAGAGGCAAGCAGTGTCAAATGCAATTGGAAATATGATATTGCATAGATCACTGGGAAGAGAAGAAGACAGAAAGTGTTGATGTTGATGTGCTGTATGAAAAGCATCATCAACTTGCAAGGAGGTGGCATGAATAAGTTCTTGAAGATGATCTCTTGCTTATTCCTACTATTTTCCCTTCTTATTTCTTTTACTATCCCCTTCTTATTGGGTAGTATAAATAGGAGTTGCCTCGTATGGGCCATTGGGCCTTCTGCAGTTATATTTGTTCTTGTGTTCTTGTTTTCTCATTCTTACTATCCCTTTTATTACACCTTACCTTCCCTACCTTCGCCTTGCCTTCTCTTCCTCTAAGATTTTTTTCTCACCTGTCTTCTGCCTATTTATTGACTTCACCTCCTTTAATCATCCAGGCTAACCATAGCCCGTGCTACTTGACCCGCTCCTGTGCCAGGTAAGTCCACTACGGGCTCACCATAGCCCGTGCTACTTGGAACTTATGTTCCGAGTAGCTGAATCTAAAACAACAACAACTTTAATCATCACAATCAACTTAAGAATGGTCCAGGACAGATCGAAACGTCGTCGTCCCTTCACTTTCTAGTGTGTGGTCTGGTCAACAATTAACTACATGTTTTATTCACATATCTGTACAATTAAGCTGGTATGATGTCCAAACAGCAAAGTGGCCATTGCATGACAAGTAACACAACAGATAGCAGACAACAGCCTCACCCACTCCCTCACCATAATGGTTCCTCCCAACAAACTCCTTTTGCTGTTATTACACTCTATACACACATTATATATAATCTATATTTATATAGATTATATATAGTATCTATATTTGTGTTCACCATATCGAACCACTAAGCTGGTATTGTGATTCCAGACAATAACATGTTGTCACACGCCAGCCAGCAGACAACGCTATCTCCTTCCCTCTCTCACCAACAATACTCCTCCTCCTCCCACATCGCTAATCCTCACCACAATCCTGCTATTATCAGAATCCTGGTCACTAAATCATGTAAATGAATAATTTTACACATGTTTATTTTATAATGGAACATGAGAAGTTGTTTGAAGAATTTTTAGATGGACGAAATAATGGCAATGTGCTGTGACTGGCACTGTGAACATATTGAACAGCATTTATTCACTGATATCTGAACATTGTGCACAGTCTTTATCACAGTCAGACTCTTCTGTAATACCATCATGGCTAAATAATACCAGATACATATATATTTGGACATGTTCAGGCGATGCTGTGGTTACAAGCTGAACAGCAATGCATTAGCTCATGCTGCGTGCGCCAGCCTTGGTTACTCACTACTGAGGCCTTCACACCTGGGAATGTTGCCCATGATTTTTTTTTTAAATGGCATCTTTTAGGAGAGTCATGAGGAAGCTGATGTGAACCCCCTTATAGCCAAAGGAGTTTTGAGTGATACGCTATACATATAAGATCCCTGAGGCCTGTTGCGCACAACCCATTGAGAGCCTTAAGGCACGTTGCACAGTGCAGTGGTTAAAGGCTGGTAGCCTGCATGTTTTAGTTTGGGAAGCTATTTAGTGACACACCAGAGAGGAGCATTTAATTACATTCAATGTTTAGTTATTACTATACTTATATATAATCTACTTACCAATGTAATAAAATTTATTGCGAATAAAGTGTTGGATAAAAAGATCCCTTTTCTGCTTTGGCATGGATTGCCACCACTTTCTGAATCCACGGCCTACCAAAACTGCTAGCATTTTGCTTAAGGGACGAAGAACAGCCACTAACATTGGGTTTACATACCGAGGGCTGCAAAAAAAAAAAAAAAAGTAATTACTATATTTTCAAAAGCACAGATGACAAAGGTGCATGAAGTTTGAATATTAAGGATAAACTTAAAAACTTATACTGTAAATTACAAACAAGGCAAAACCACATAATTCTGTGGGGGCACCCTCACTAGCTCCATGAGCCAAGTGCTGTTTTAGCAATGTCTTAGTTAGAAGCACTAGGTCTGCAAGAAGCCTATCCCACATACACACATGCAGGAATGTCACAAGTGAAGTACCACAGGGTTCAGTTCTTGCACCGGTGATGTTCAGTGTCTACATAAATGATCTACAGTTGGTATACAGAATTATATGAACATGTTTGCTGATGATGCTAAGATAATAGGAAGGATAAGAAACTTAGATGATTGTCATGCCCTTCAAGACGACCTGGACAAAATAAGTACATGGAGCGCCACTTGGCAAATAGAATTTAATGTTAATAAATGGCATGTTATGGAATGTGGAATAGGAGAACATAGACCCCCACACAACCTATATATTATGTGAGAAATCTTTAAAGAATTCTGATAAAGAAAGAGATCTAGGGGTGGTTTTGGATAGAAAACTATCACTTGAGGACCACATAAAGAATATTGTGCGAGGAGCCTATGCCACGCTTTCTAACTTAAGAATTGCTTTTAAATACATAGATGGCGATATATTAAAGAAACTGTTCACGACTTTTGTTAGGCCAAAGCTAGAATATGCAGCGGTTGTGTGGTGCCCATATCTTAAGAAGCACATCAACAAACTGAAAAAGGTGCAAAGACATGCTACTAAGTGGCTCCCAGAACTGAAGGGCAAGAGCTACGAGGAGAGGTTAGAGGCATTAAATATGCCAAAACTAGAAGACAGAAGAAAAAGAGGTGATATGATCACTACATACAAAATAGTAACAGGAATTGATAAAATCGATTGGGAAGATTTCCTGAAACCTGGAACTTTAAGAACAAGAGGTCATAGATTTAAACTAGCTAAACACAGATGCCGAAGAAATATAAGAAAATTCACTTTCGCAAACAGAGTGGTAGACGGTTGGAACAAGTTAGGTGAGAAGGTGGTGGAGGCCAAGACCGTCAGTAGTTTCAAAGCGTTATATGACAAAGAGTGCTGGGAAGACAGAACACCACGAGCGTAGCTCTCATCCTGTAACTACACTTAGGTAATTACACTTAGGTAATTACCCCCGGCCAAACCAACTAAACATCAATTACCCAAGGACCCCTCCGGAAAGCAGCTGTCCTGGCCATCGCCGGAAAAGACGGAGAAGGCTACAAACGTACAAACCTATCACCAGAACCAAAAGAACAGAAACCCCCTGCGCCGGAGAAGAGCCGGAAGGTTCCCAACCCGAACCCCAGAGGCCAATGCCAACAAATATAGGACCTTTGAAAAACGTCAACCGAATCTTCGCCAAAAAAGGCAACCGAAGAATCTTCAACCGAAGGGGCTACCACAAACCGAGGAGAGGAAAGATAGGAGAGCACCCCTGACCAAGGACCAGGACGGCTCAGGCAACGCATGAGCAGGCCGGAGGTGAACCAAAGCACGAGAAAGCATACGGAGCGGGGCGGATGTGACGTCCACCCCGAACATAAGCTGGAGCAGCCCCACCAGTGCCACACGATACGAGGCGACAGTAAAAAAACCAGCGTTGAATGTAATGAAACGCCATTTTCTGGGTGAGCCCCGGAGGCTCCCTGGAGCTTATCGGGCTAATGTATGTTATATTAGACCGGAACATTAGCTAAGGAGTTCAGACCTACCAGGGACTAGCACCAGAACCTGGCCCCCTTCAGAGAGGTTTCAGGGAGTAATGGCCCTGGAAAACCCCCTTTGTGGTTGGGGTTTTCCTTATCTGCCATCGACTGGGGTTAGGCACCCAGAAAGGTAGGCATAACAAAACAAACCCCACATGGTAAAAAACTAAAACCAAAAACTGAACAGAGAGGTAGAAACTCCCTACAATCACAAGGAATCAAGCAAACAAGCAAACATCACATTTTACTGTCGCGCCGATCGTCCGCGCAGCCCTCCCCGCCCCGAGAGGGGAAGGGGGGAGCCCCAAACCTACCGCGCTGGCTGCCAAGCTTCAGTTCGGAAGCTAAGCTTCAACCAACGCGAAAAAAACACCGACCGGTGGGAGGGAGGGTTGCCAGGGAGCCTCCGGGGCTCACCCAGAAAATGGCGTTTCATTACATTCAACGCTGGTTTTCTGTGGGGAGCCCCTACGGCTCCCTGGAGCTTCATACCCAAAGAGAAGGAAAAGAAAGAGCTGACTCGGGAGGTGGCTGCCACAAACTCCACAACGCAAAGCCGAGACAAAAGGCTGCAACCTGCGACCCAAGGCAACAAGAACGCACAGGAGCAGATGCGCATAAAGAAAGGATGGCAAAGAACCTGTGCGACCCTCAAATCCCTGCGCCCAAAATGAGCCCTAGACGTCGCCAACACAGCAGCAAAAGCCGCAAACGTCTGAACAGCACGGGCACAAAGACAGACTGCAGGCTGGAAGAATGAAAAACTCTGTGGACGACCTGGGAGACCCTAGCCCTGAAAACAGGGAATGAGAGAAACTGGATCAACCACAGCGCATCCCCAGACACGGTACGCAGGCAACGGCAAAAAGCACAACCGGACAACACAGGACGCACACCTGGCCAAACCAATCAAGCATCAATAACCCAAGAACCCCTCCGGAAAGCAGCCGTCTCGACCGTCGCCAGGACAGAGAAAGGCTGCACATGTACAAATCTACCACCAGTACCAAAGAGCAGAAACCTGAACTGAAGGGGCTACCACAAACTGGGGAGAAGATAAGAAGGCACCCTGATCAAGGACCAGGATGGCTCAGGCGACGCATGAGCAGGCCGGATGTGAAACAAAACACGAGAAAGCGTACGAAACGTCATACTGTCGCCAAGACGAAGCTCGCAGGTGGGACAACGTCAACAAAGCCACCTGAACACCACAGAGATGGTGATACCCGCGTCAAAATACCAGACGCGAAGAGCTGAGGAGAAGGCCGAACCAGTCACGTCCAGGGCCAATTCGACCTGCCAAAAGAGGCAGAGCCGCGGGAAAACACCCCGGGTTCGGACACCTATCAAGCAGCGTCTGAAAATAAGGCTGAGACGGCCCCCAAGGAACCATAAGGACTGCTCTCGTGGGAATGGGCTGCAACCGAGCCAGAACCCGAAGCAACAGTTGGACCGGGAGAAGAGGAACAGGTACCTCCACCTCGACCAGTCCTGCCGAAAAGCATCCACCGAGAATGTCTCGCAGGTGGGTAAGAGCGCCACATAAAATGGGCGACGCCTAGATCACGCCGACTCGAAGACGTCCACGAGTCCATACGTCCGACAGGGCCAACAAAACGAGTCGGCGACGACTGGCCAATTTGCAAACAGAGCAATGAACCGAGATAGCTGTCCGCCAGGACGCAGGACACACCCCGGACATGAACCTCACGGTTAGCCAAACCCCGAGAATCCAGCAAACGAGCCACTACGGAACCAACCCCAAAGGTCAACACCTAATAGAAACCCTGTGGTTAAGGCAAGAACCGCCAGAGAACAGTCCGAACAGAGCTGAATGGTAGAGCACCGAGTGACCCAAACCCTCCGAAGCGCAAACCAGACAGTCACGAACTCCTGAACCGTGCTGTGAGCCCGACGGACAGACAGACTCCACCATCCCCGGCCGACCTGGTGAGCACTGGTCACAAAGCCCCAGCCGAGAGATTGCCCGTCCGTGAACACATCGAGCGACGGTTCGGGGAGGTGCCAAGGCACAGAACCCCGAAAACCCCAAAGAGGAAGCTGGTGACGCAGCACCAACACAAGATCCTTGGAGGAACGAACCCAACGAATGCAAGAGGCGGAAGGGAAGTCTCCGAAGGAACCAAACAGACGCCGAAGCCAAACCCGACCCTGCGGGCAGACCAGCACGTCGAAGTTCAGACTCCCGCACAACTGCTCAAGCAACCACTGAGCAACCCGGGACCCCCCCTCATGTACAGCCGAAGGCGGGACCACAGCCGCAGTAACACTTCTGGAGGGAAAGACAATGAGTTGCCCAATAGCCCAAAACAAGGCACAGGTCCGAACCCGAGACGGAAACAGATGGAATGGCTTCCAGATCACCAGGAAACCAAACCCGGCGATCTGGAAATAACCACACCCCTGGGGAGCAGACAAGCGGACTGACTGAGAGCCCACACCAGCCAGTCGTCGAGGTTGGCTAGACACCGAATCTCAAGCAGACTCAGACAGGGCACTAAGATCCGGTAAAGATGCAAAAAAAAAAAAAATACACCAAGTGCCAATTACAAAAATAGGGAAGACAACAAAAGCAGCAAGCCTGAAGCCCCACCACCAACTGTGTCAGTCCCAGAAAACTGGAAAGGAACGTGTCAAGAAGTGACCTGGAGGTCCAGGGCCACCATCCAGGCACACGGCCCCAACAGAAGCCGGACAGGAGACAACAGTCCTCCGAGGAGGGCATAGAATCCAGGGCGCAGACTGAAGAAGTCCAGAAGAACCGCAGATGCGAAAGGCCCATGACTGCAAAGAGCAGACGGGAACCCCAGAAGGATGGGGCAAATCGACCACGTCCAACGCACCCACTAAGATGATATGACGAAGCACAGGGAAAGAAGCCCACCCCGCCAGCTCTGAACCCCCCCAAGCAGGAAAAAGCCATCTATCGACGCCACCAGAGGCCGGAAGACAACCAAAAGCGCCCACCAACAGCGGGACCATGCGAGAGTCAACAGAGCAAGCTGCTCCCCCAGCGACCCGTCAACAGAGAAGGGAACAGAACCCCTTCCGAAAGAAAAAATACACACACATATACTGTCTCCACTCGACTATCCGGACTATATGGGAAGGACCCCCCAGCCGGATTATCACATGTTCCGGATAATAGTACTTTTTCACCTCAAGTCCAAAAGGGACCATTTCCGACAATTTTTAT